ATTTTACTTTGTTTTATTTTTTTGAGACAGAGTCTCACTCTGTCACCCAGACTGGAGTGCAGTGGCGTGATCTCGGCTCACTGCAACCTCTGCCTTCCAGGTTCAAGCGATTCTCCTGTCTCAGCCTCCTGAGTAGCTGGGATTACAGGCACCCACCACCATACCTGGCTAATTTTTGTATTTTTAGTAGAGACAGGGTTTCACCATGTTGGCCAGGCTGGTCTCGAACTCCTGGCCTCAAATGATCCACCTGCCTCGGCCTTCCAAAGTTCTGGGATTATAGGTGTGAGCCACTGCGCCTGGCCGGGTTTCTTTTTTTGATCCCCATATTGTCCCACTCTTGCTGTGTGGAGACTGGCCTGGGAGTTTAAGCTAAACCCTGAGGGTTCAAACACTTTCTAGTCTTAGGAGCAGTGATGTGAGCCACCTCTTCCCCTTGCTTCTCTGGCTTGCCACTGCAAAGCTGCACGTTGAGGATGGGAGAGCCGCAGGGAGGAGGAGCGTGGGTCCCTGAGTCATGTCTCAGCCAGTGCTCCCCGGTGCGGCCTTCCATCCCCATTCCCACTTTCGTGGACAGGTATGAAGAGGGTCTTAGAAACAGCGGTTCCAGTGCTTGCCTCTCCCTAGTCTCTGAGATCCCCCTATGACGTGCAGGCCATACATTCTGAACACATTGAAAGGCTTAGGTGGCCAGCTGCTCTTCTATTCCCAATAAGAAATAAACTCTGGGGATTCCTGGAATTTCCTTCTGGAGGTTTGTAAGTTCCTCTAATGTTTTTTTTCTGGCAAGAGCCTCTCCTTAGTGTCTTTTCTGTGGGGATAGAAGAGCAGGTATAGAGCTAAGCAGGGGTGTACACTTAGCTTCCCACGGGCATGCCCTGCCCTCACCTCTTTCCCAGAGTGTGTGCCTGAGAGCCCCCTCAAGGCCTTCTCAGAGGGATCACTCCCCTGTCATATCCTCACAGGCTACTGCTACCCCTCCTACAGTTACAATGACAGCTACTAGATTGTGTGTTTATAGATATTTCTCAATATTCCACAGGAAGCATGTACCTTTTTCAGTATGAGAAAAGAAAAGGCTTGAGCTAAAACTTATAACACAATAAGTTGTCTTTACATTAAATCTCATTTCCTATAATTCTAGTAACTCCAAAGTTTTTGATAATTTGGAGGAAATTTACCAGCTGGTTTACCATTATTTTCACTCAAGAAAAAGATGTTCTCAAGAATTTGGCAATGCTGAGTGCACAAAAATATATGAATGAGACAATATTATTTTTTAAAAAATTATTTTAAAATATTTTAAGAAGAGTGAGGAGCTTTTAAGTTCTCCTTTCGTATATGTCATTGATGCATTTCTTATAAGCCATTTTTATCCATTCTTTAAAGCAGTTTGACCTAGGAGTCCTGCTAGACCATAATAAGCCCAGTTTCAAGAAGCGTACCAGAAAGTTAAAACACACAAATAAACAAACCTCAAATAAACAAATGTTCAGCTTTTCTTTGAACATCCCAGCTCTCTCACATATATTGTTCAGAGTTCTTGGACTCAATCAACAGAAATGGTGTCCTGCTGTCTTCTGCAAAAGAGAATTGATTGGAAGGCCCATTGGGACTTTGTGAGTTCAAAGGATCTGTTTGCAAAAGGGCAGGAACCATAGTCCTTTACGGTGGGAAGAGGCCAGAGGCCCCGCAGGGCCCTCAGGAGCTGGCCAGTCAGCACCACCTTCTCGGCTGTTCTTTGGGGTCTGGCATCTTGCTTCAGAGCCAGCTCCAGTTCACACCCTCCTCGCCTCTCCTGTGCTGTGGGAGGATCCGAAATGGAGATTCTGTTTTTTCCCTTCAGCTTCCACAGCAAGAGCAAGGTGCTATTTCAAACAGGGATCAGGTGCTGGGCAGTCAAGAATACAAACAACTCAACAAATGTCCTCTCTGCTTATGAGGTTTTCATAAAGAAATTTTAAATCATTTTGTGGAGGCTGGGCTCCGTGGCTCATACCTGTGATCCCAGAGCTTTGGGAGGCCAAGGAGGAAGATCACTTGAGTGCAGGAGTTTGAGACCAGCCTGGGCGACATAGCAAGACCCTGTCTCTACAAAAAACAAAAAAATTAGCCAGGTGTGGTGGCTCATGCCCGTGGCTCCACCTACTTGGGAGGCTGAGGCAGGCAGATTGCCTGAGCTCAGGAGGTTGAGGCTGCAGCAAGCCTAGATAGTGCCACTGCACTCCAGCCTAGGTGACAGTGAGACCCTCTCTCTTAAAAAAAAAAAAAAAAGAAAGAAAAAAAAATCTTATGGGGCAACCATTTATTTATTAAACTGCTTTATTGAGATATAATTCACACATCATAAAATTCACTCATCTAATTATACAGTTGATTGAGTTTTAGTATATTCACAGAATGGTGCAACCACCACCACATTCTAATTTTAGGACAAACCATTTGTTTTCAAAATTGAAGATAAAGAATTCCATGTTATGCAACCTCGGCTAGATTTAGAAACACATCTGTTCCATGGGGCGGTAAGTCTCTGGCCATGAATTCCTCCTGCCTACCTCTCTTTATCCTTGAAGGCCCAAGAAGAGCAGGAGCTCAGGGTCTGCACAGCAGGTGTGGGTTCTTAGGGACGGCTCTGACTTGGTGTGGCAAGGCGGCCAGCCGGTCACTTCATGCCCTCGGGCTCCAAACGATCACATTCTGAAAGAAAGGAGAGAGCAGAGACTTCCCAGCGCTTTTTGCCCCTTTCATCAGCAGCAGACTTCGGGAAGACCCGGTCTGCTCTCTCATACCTTCCATCTTGGCTTTACTTTCCCTTTTTAAAGGAGCCCAAAGAGAAACATTCTTTAATTGCTACCCAAACCCGCCTCTAGAGGGCAGACAGTTCCCCAGCTGAGCAGGGAGGGATCCTGCATCTCCGAGCCAGCCGCCCCGCTGTTCCATTGGCAGGAACTCTTATCTAGGATTTTCTGCTTCTGGGTTCCTTCTAGGTTTGCCGCAGCGCATCCCCGTGCTGGAAACGTTCCGGCGCGGTGGGGAGTGCAGGTGTTGTGGTTGTGGCTCTTTTCTTTCTGGAAAGAAATCTCTGAACCCACCCCTCCCCACACCCCAACTCAGGTTTAGAATGTATCCAAAGGACCACAAGAGAGTTCTAACCATTTTATTTCATACAAGTTACCCTTCATAGTCCCTTTAAACATTTCGATGAAATGCATGTGCCATAAAATTTACCGTTTAAACTTTTTAAGCGTACAGTTCTGTGGCATTAAGTACGTTCACATTGTTCAACAATCGCTACCAGGTTTTTTTCATCTTTGCAAACTGAAACTATACGCCCACTAAACAATAACTCTCCATTTACCCTCTCCCCAGCCACTGGCAACCAGCATTCTGCTTCCGTCTCTATGAGTCTGACTACTCCAGGAGTCTCATATAAGTGGAATCAGACAGTATTTGTCCTTTCGTAGCTGGCTTATTTCACACAGCATAATGTCTTCAAGGTTCAACATATTGTAGCATGTGTCAGAATTTCCTCCTCCTCCTCCTCCTGCTCCTCCTCCTCCTCTTCCTCCTCTCCCTCCTCCTCCTCCTCCTTCTTCTTTTTTGAGACAGGGTCTTGCTTTGTTGCCCAGGCTGGAGTGCAGTGGTGTGATCAAAGCTCATTGCAGCCTCCAACGCTTGGGCTCAAAGGATCGTCTTGCCTCAGTCTCTCGAATAACCAGGGGTACAGGCATGCACCACCATGCCCAGCTAATTTTTGAGTTTTTATTTTTGTAAAGAGAGGGCCTCACTATGCTGCTCATGCTGGTCTTGAACTCTTGGCTTCAAGGGACCCTCCTGCCTCCACCTCCCAAAGTGCTGGGATTACGGGTGTGAGCCACTACACCTGGCTCAGATTTTCTTTCGTTTTAAAGTGGAATAGTATTCCACTGTTTGGCTGTGCCACATTTTCTTTATCCATTCATCTGTCAATGGGCACGTGGGTCGCTTCCACCTTTGGTTGTTGTGAAGAGTGTTGCCGCGAATGTGGGTGTGCACGTAGCCCTTTGAGTCCATGGTCTCAACTCCTTTGGGTTTTCATGATCCTTTTTGCCCAACGGGAGAATAAGATAAACCTACCTTAAGGCAGGGCTTTCCCACTTTTTCATGTTCAGGCTTACAAAGGAAATATCTGTTTGTCTCCCTGGGATTTGGAGCCTCAACAGGGTGGTGGAGGTGACTAGCCCAGCATCCTGCTGCCCACTCCCAGACATGCTTGGACACACTGGGTAGGGGAGCTCTCTGCTCTGGATAACAAGATTCTCCAGGTTTAGAGTCCATGTGTCAAGTGGTCCGTGCGGTGCATGGAGTATAGATGCTCTAGGTGTGGGTGATGGGATGAGGTGTACGAAAAAGGCTCTCACTTCCCCTTGGCTCACACCCCTTCCTCGAGTTGGCCCTCTGTAGCCCTAGAATGAGACCCACTGGCTCTCATAGCCCCCGGCACAGCAGCTGCTTGGAACAGCTGCATAATGTTACTGAAGTGGATCAATCAAATTATCCCAAAAGCCAGCATTAGGTTAGGATGCCCGAGGCAGGCAGGCGGCTGTGGGGGCTGAGCTGGAAGACTGGACTGGGGCTGCCGCTCTGGGCGGCACTTAGAGACCAGTGTAAACTGAGCTGCGGATCCCGTTCAGAAGAAAAAGTGAGAAGGAAGCCACAGGCAGGGCTGAGCAGAGGGCAGGTACCTTGAGGGAGAGGGAGAGGAACAGGGAGAAGGAGGGGAGGGAGAGGCTGCCCCAGGACTTAGAGCTTCTGTGAGGCTTTGGGGATGCTTCTGCATTTCACTTTTGCAAAAGTCAATTCTATCGACATTGCAGTCTCCTTCCCTTGAGGCAGATGGGCTGGCTTACCCACCTTGAAGGTTCTTAGGGGCAGGTGCAGTTGAGAAAAAGCCAGAACGTAGGGAGGACTGCTTCGGGACTGGTGCAGTGGGAAAGAATGGCCACCAAGACAGCACTGAATGCTTCTTTTTCAAATATTTTATTAATCTGTTTGGCCAAACAGGTAATGGAAACTGAGAATAATAATTTGCTAAAAACTTCAGGTCATGAATGCCCCTTTCCCCCAGGAAACAAAAGACTCCATGGTTACAGAATGCACCATTGGGTTATGACAACATTTCAAAACAATGTTTCCATTTCATATGTAACAATGTAAACTTCAAAAATAGTAAACTCTAACCCCTGACCCTCTTTACAGATCTATCACAGATAGAATTTTCTGGCAGACCTAAATTGTGTAAGTAAACAGCCTGGTGCTTAAAAGTTTCATAAAAAGGTTTACAGATTTCAGTAAATAATTTTTCAGTCTTGGTCAGGAAGTAAAAGCAGCCAGCAATTCCCCTCCTGCACAAGGTACCTTATATGGGTATTGTACACCCTGGGCCACACTCCGTATACACTGGCCATCAGCTCTGTCATTTTTGTACACAGACATACACATATATAGAGAGTTTTATTTGTTTCTAAAGATTTTTACATCTAAATTATAAGACGGCGCCAGTGACGTATCACGTCACCTCGCTTCACATAGGTAAAGACGAAAATTCTGTAGAAGGCACTGTGATTTCTCTTGCACGATCTTACACAGACACATGAGAGCAGGCCAGCCGGGGCTTGGACTTATCTTGTCCTTCCTGGTACCTGGCACAGACCTGTCCTCTGATAGTTTTTGATGTTCATCGTCCATTTCTGCCTTGCGACTTCACATCCCAGACATCCTTCCCTCCCTTCTTCCATCCCTCCATCCATCCATCCAAATAAATTGACAGTTATCTTTTGGTTCATTGAAACTCCTTAAAATTAAGAGTACAGCTCTGGTATAAAACAAAATATGACCTACCATAGCTGAAAAATAATCACAGTGTACAATGTCATGTTCAGTTGCTAAGATTCTAAACACTTGCCCTGACTTGTCAAGAACGTCAGCCATCCAAAACGATCTATGCAGGGATCTTTTAAACCCACTTTACATTCGTTGGAAAAGCACTGAGAGGTTCTTCTTTTCTCTTTTGTATTGAATCGGTACCCTTTAGTGGAAGGTCTGATGTGGAAAAGTGCAAGCAAATTGGACATGCCAATAAATACCATAGAACTTACCGCAGATGACCAAAACTGTACAGGTATGTACACCTTACCCAACTGAGGTTCCTCCCGGCAGGAATAGACCTCCCAGTCATTACCACCGAGTTCTAGAGGAGTGGTGTTAGCGGGCGAAGGAAGGGCGGGCTCTTCTGTTCTTGCTCTGAGGTCCTGAGCTCAGGTCGGCAGCGCCCTCTGCAGGCTCCTCCTTCTTCCTCACTTTGAGGCGGGTCAGCAGCTTGATCAACCACACATCCCACTCCTCTGGCAGGAGCAGGAGGAGAAAACCCAGGCCGATGATGATGATGGCGATGACCCGGACCCCATTGAAGACAATCTGACTGGTGTAGTGATCAATCACTGTGGGAGACAGAGCATGGAGGTTACCCAGCTGCAGGGCTGGGGGCATGTCCCCGGAGAGCGGGCAGGGCCTGGGGGCATCCTCCTCTGCCTGGCAGTGTTATGGTCTTGCCTGGACCATAGGATTCTCCTCAGTATGATTTTGTTCCAGGTGGGCTGGGGTTACCTCTCGTAAATCACCCTTAACTTTATAAAACCTCTCTGGTATGAGGTCTTGCATTTGTATGTCACCTCCCAAAACTGACTTGGTAGTTCAAACATTGATATATGTGATTAAAAAAAGTGAATGAAGGGCAATTGAGGAGATGAGAGAGAGAGAGAGAGATATTACACACACACACACACGCATATTTGACCCTTGAACAACATGGGTTTGAACTGTACAGATCCACTTATATGTAGATTTTCTTCCACCTCTGCCACACCAAGACAGAAAGACCAGCCCCTCCTCTTCCTTCTCCTCCTCAGCCTACTCAATGTGAAGACGACCGTGAAGATGACGACCTTTATGATGGCCCACTTCCACTTAACGGGTAGCAAATAGACTTTCTCTTTCTTATGATTTTCTTAATAACATTTTCTTTTCTTCAGCTTTATTGTAAGAGTACAATATATCATACAAATAACACACATGATATATGTGAATCAACTGCTTTTCATCAGTAAGGCTTCTGGTCAACAGTACCCCATTAGTAGTTAAGTTTTTGGGGAACTGACAGTTGTATGTGGATTTTCAACTATTCAGGGGTTGGTGCCCCCATTCTTTCTACATTGTTCAAGGGTCAACTGTATTTTTTTTTTTTTTTGAGACAGTGTCTCACTCTGTCATGCAAGCTGGAGTGCAGTGATGCGATCAGGGCTCACTGCAACCTCTACCTCCCGGGCTCTAGTGATCCTCCCATCCAGCCTCCTGAGTAGCTGGGACTATAGGTGCCACCATGCTTGGCTAATTTTTGTTGTTGTTATTATTATTATTATTATTATTATTGTTTTGTAGAGATGGGGTTTTGTCATGTTGCTCAGGCTGGTGTAGAACTCCTGGGCTCAAGCGATCGTCCCACCTTGGCCTCCCAAAGTGCTAGGATTACAGGCGTGAGCTCCCGTGCCTGGTCCGTATTTCAGTTTTTAATATTGGTTAAACATTCTGTTAATTCAGCAGATAAGGAGAATGAACCAGCCAGTCCTGTGAGCAGATGTCAGGGAGAACCCAAAAGCCGGGCAATGACTCTGCTTTGACAAGTGAGATACGCAGCAGGTTCCCCGGCTTCTCGCTTCCAATCAAGAGTGGCCTGGGATTCCTTTTTTGGACTCATCATTAAACCTTTTATGTTGCAGGTAAGTAATGAAAAATTATTTTAATTAATCCCTCAAACACCTGGCCATATTGTACACTCAAAGTAAGTTTCTATACAAGACAACTGGAACATGCCTTCTGGAGACAGGAACACGGTGTGACTACAAACTAAAGATGCAAAGAATGTAGGGGGAGAATGGTGACAAGAGATTTTTCAGAAGCCTGCAGTGTCTGGACCATTTTCCTTTTTTACCAGCTGTCTAGGAGCTCAGGTGCTTTCTGCATTTTGAAATGCTGTCTCATTGATTATTTCATCTGGTTGTCACATCAACCGAGGTAGCAAGGGTAGGTATGATTTCTCATTTGCAGGGGAGGCAAGCTAAGGCTCAGAGAGCAGATGAGTTGGGACCACAGATCTCCAGGTGGGCTGTGGTAGTGCTGGGCCCGAGCCCTGTCTCCTGACGCCTCCCACAGGCCTGGTACTGCCGCCGCTGTGAGGCAGTCCTTCCAGAGGAGTCTGGGCTGTGGTAGGGCAGAGAGGTCCAGGGCCTGTGGAATGGGAGCGGTGGGAAACATGGGGAAAGGCTTGGGAAACTGAGGTGCCTTCAGGCATATTCACCACCACATTGAACAGGATAAGGGTTTGCCATTCCCTTGGGGTTGGGGGTGGCGGTGGTCTTTTAATGGCCTGGAAATGGCAGGATTTGGGAGGTGGTTTTGGAGGAAGCTGTGCCAGGGACAAAGGAGTGAGTGTTCTGGGGAGGACAGATTCACAGCCCTTTTCTCGCTGAGAGAAGGATGCCTAGGGAGGTCAGGTGTGAGGCTAGGAGGTTCTGGGAAGAAAATCCAAAATTCCCATCCGTGTGAGCCAGGAAAAGGAAGGTGGTGAGGGGCAGGTGAAGACAAGCTTCTGAAAGAGCTGTCAACTGTGTGCGCCTTGGCAACAAGTCCCCAGGGGAAAACAAAGGGCGGTCCCAAGTTCCTGGGCAAAGGATGTTCCCTCCCTGTCTTCCTGGAGGTCAGGGAAAATCACGTTCATGCTTCTTCAGCTTGTCAGCGTGAATCTACCTCATGCCTTGAGCAAATTTTCTCCCCCAGAAAGTTACCTGCAAAAGTTACATTTTTTTCTGCTACATAATTGCCTACATTTTTAAATAATGCTGATGAGATTCATTTCTGCTCCCCATACCAGTTAGATCCAGATGGCTTTAGACTTACTGTATCTTGAAGTGGTATGTGAAAATCAGCCCATTATGGAGAAAATATTGCATGTATAATGACTATTAACATTTCACCTAAATGCTTTTATTTATTTATTTATTTTTGGCAGATGGTTAAACATGCATTCTATAGGAGACACAGCAAGAATATATGTAAGTATGTATGTGAGAGTATGTGTGTGTATGAGTGTGTGTGTATGCATGTGTGTATGTGTGTGCATGTGTGTGTATGTATGAATGTGTGTATGTGTGTGTGTGAGTAGGTGACTGAGTGTGTGTGCTTATGTGCAGATATAGAAAGCCGCATAGAGTTACCTGCATTCACAGGTACGCTGAGGACGATTCCAAGAGACATCAGAGTGGGATATGTAACAGCAATTCCAAAATTTAATACAATATTGAATGCTGAAATAAAGAATGTAAATAACGAGTGTTATTCACGACTGCTCTGTACTTTACCTCCCTGCTGGCCTATCTGACCCAGGTTTCACTGATGGGGCTGGAGTCATAGGAGTTACAATGACCCTTTGCTCTGATTCAGTGAACTCAGAGTTCCTCTGGGGGTTCCAGGACTTGGGACCAGGAGCAGACACTCTGAGTACTCAGCCCCTCTGTTCCCTGATTTTGAAGAAGGGAAATAAGTTTGGAAATGGTAACCATTGAGAAGGTGACTGGGACCATCTTACCAGTTTTGCTTTTCTCTGCTGCTGGCAATGAACAGGAGCTCTGGGAATTTTTTTTTTTTTTTTTTTTGTGAGGCACGGTCTTGCACTATCACCCAGGCTGGAGTGTAGCACACTGTGGTGCAATCACAGCTCACTGCAGCCTCAACCCCTCTGCTCAAGTGATCCTCCCCCTTTAGCCTCTTGAGTAGCTGGCACTACAGATGCACACCACTGCACCTCGCTAATTTTTAAATGTTTATTGGAGATGAGGTCTCATCATGTTTCCCAGGCTGTTCTTGAACTCCTGGGCTCAAGCCATCCTCCCGCCTTGGCCTCCCAAAGTGCTGGGATTATAGGCATGAGCCATTGTGCCTGGCTGTGTTTTTAGATGGAAATTGGATAAGTCACCTCCTTGGTTGCATTCCTGCCTAGCTCTAGACTTATATCAAGTAATGGAGACAATGATGATGATGACATTAATAATAATGATAATCTATGGTATTCTATAGTATTTATTGAACATTGACACTTATCAGGCAATTTTTTTTTTTTTTTTTTTTTTTGAGATGAAGTCTTGCTCTGTCCCCTAGGCTGGAGTGCAGTGGCGTGATCTCGGCTCACTGCAAGCTCCGCCTCCCGGGTTCACGCCATTCTCCTGCCTCAGTCTCCCGAGTAGCTGGGACTACAGGCGCCCGCCACCACGCTCAGCTAAGTTTTTGTATTTTTAGTAGAGACGGGGTTTCACCGTGTTAGCCAGGATGGTCTCAATCTCCTGATGTTGTGATCTGCCTGCCTCGGCCTCCCAAAGTGCTGGGATTACAGGCATGAGCCACCGCGCCTGGCCCTTATCAGGCAATGTTTTAAGAGCTCTGCAGGTGTTAATTTACCAGCTCCTTGCTGTACTATGCTTAGTAGGTAACATGCAACACACTGGGCTATTAGTTCATTATTCAGAGCAGCAGTGACCACTGTGACTACTACATTGATACTGGTTCTGGAATTCGAATCCAATGTCATCATTTCAAAGACTACTTTGTGAAACAGAAATATCTTAAAAACCGGTGAGAACTAAAGAATAGCAATGAGCACTGTTTTCTGCCTTCAGGGAACATGTCTCCTAAGGGTCCTCTGCTGGTGATTGCTTTCTGGGAATTCTGGATAGCTGGTCACCACTTACTCAATAAGAGAACTGAAAATCCACAAAGATTTCCCCATGGAATGTCATCAAAAGAGCTCCAGTATTCCACTTTGGTAAAGTAGAGGATAATAGGAATGCAGGTGATGAAGAGGATGTTAAACACACCCAAGATGGACAAAAATAAGGCGGCTTCTCCAAACTTAGCACTGCCCAGGAGGAGCTTGAACAAAACCTGTAGGAGAAAGCAGAGGAGGACGGGGTGAAGGCTCACCTCAGACCCCAACATGATGTAAGTGAAGCAGAGTTCACTCCACAATGCTGGGGTTGCACTGCAGGATGGAAACCAGATTTCAGGCGAATTCCATGGGGTTTGACCTGTGTTCATTTGCACATATATTCAAATCCCAGTGACATGGCAGAGGAGAGTTGCTCTTTGGTTATAGAGAAAGCATCTTTGGGAGTCATGGGTTTTCATACTAGGTTTGATTTGTCTGTGTTGTGTTCCTGACACTACATCACTCAAAAACATCTGCCATGATTACACATCCTCTCAGAGACCCCTAGAAGGGATCCTTGACCCTGTATAAGCAGGTTGAACACCATTGCTCCCAAGAAAGAGTGCTCTGGCTGCAAAGACATTTTCTGTAAATCAAGGGTGGAGGGATTTTGCTCATATCTGCTCCATCCCACCATGTCCATTCCAGAAATGGCATGGGTTTTAGTGGAATGCACCAAACTTTTATTTTCTTGCACCTGTTCTTTTTTGCACATCATTTCAGGGGTTTGGAAGGCCAGGAGGAGAGGGCAAATGTGATGGGAGTGGCCAGGAGCTGAACTGAGAGATGCAGGTGGCCCCAGGGCAGCTCCTGTGCTGAGTGAGCTGTGGTCTAATTTGAGTCTCCGCATCGTTGTCTCTCTTACTTTTCCTGCTTTCTCTTTGTTCAGCCCCTTCCCAACTCATTCATGTATTTCCTAAAAAATGTGCAAGAAGTATGGACGGGGAAGTAAGTGGCTTTCAGCCTCTCACCTAGGAGGCCCCATGGACAAGTTGCAGGTGGTAGAGGAGTTGGAGATGGGAATCTGAATCAGAATATTGTGTTCATTGTGGATTGTGTTTCTCCCTGTTGTTTTGCTCCTCATTAGGCCACAGCGATTTGAGTCTAGCAGAGTGTATGTAGCCTTCTAATATCTTCTGCATTTGGACGGTTGCTAGAGTCTCAGAGTGGTGCTCGATAATCGCATCTCCTCAGGGAGAGGTGTTCAGAGAAAGAAAATGACATGTGTGTCTTCCTCTGTGGGAGGTGAGGGCAGGGAGGTGATAAAGGATAAGGCTGAGTTATTTCACTTGCCCAAAATCAGAACACATGGTACTCACAGAGCTGGGGGAAAGAATGTCTTTTCTTATGACTCTCTACAGTACTTAAATTATATCGGTCCTATTGTCTGCATCCACAAAGGGCTGATAAGTCTCAAAACTAAAATCTCATTTCTCGTTGAATCTTCTAGGTCAGTTCTCCAACCTGGAGTCCTGAAAATATTTGCATTCTCTGCAATGGATCTTAGGAGAAGGAGAGAGGAGGAGAAGGGAAGTGAGGGGGGAGAGCAGCCAGGAGACTTGATAAAGTAGGAGGTGAACAGAGAAAGGGACCTGAGTGCGGGAATAAAAATTTGTTTCCTCTAGACCTGAAGTTGGCAAGTGCTTTCCCATGGTTCCCAACATTTCATCAAAATACTTTATTATCCCCATATTACAGCTGTTGTACTTTTATTTATTTAGCCTTCAAGGCAGTACTGGAAATGCATATGGATTCATAGCGAGCAGTGGAGGCTGCAAAAACTGTGTGGGCAAAGATTTACATGACAAAGCTGCACCAGACATTCAAGTCTTCCCACCCCATAGGGTGGCAAATGATCTGAGCAAACACTGAGCTTGTCGGCTGCCATCAATGACGTCAGGAATCTGACTGTGCCTATGCGGATGGGCACCACTCATTTTATCTCAGATGCTGCAACGATGTGGCTACAGATAGAAAGGCCCAGAGAGCCAAAGCCAAGAGCAGTGGCACACCTCCCCCTTGCCCTTGACTGAAGTCTCTGTCTGCCTGTTGCACAGTTGACTCCAGCTATCTAGAGCTGCCTGTCCTGAAGCACAAGTATCATCAGCAGCTCTTGAAAAGTAAAGGACCAGCCATCTAAAGCCGGCTGTGCTGGCTGAGGAGAGCCCAGCCAGCTGAGAGAGTTCACTCCCCGCGCATACCTTGTAGAGGGCAGACATGGATGCTGAGGCCACCACCAGTGCGATGCCGATGACGGAGTGGCTGTGGAAGCCATCAGCGTAGGTCATCATCACAATGCCAGCGATGGCGAGGATGGCGGCCACAATCTGGACGGATGGAAGAAAATGCTGGTCAGGGAAGTCCGGATGGAGTCGGAGGGGCCACGCAAGCGCCAAAGACCCGGAAATGCACGTGGGGTTTGGCCACGTGAGGGGAAAGTGGTGTCTCCTTTTTGTTCCTTCTTGGGGAGCAACAGGCAAAGGCTGACTCTTGTCTAAATTTTTGTTGCTGCTTAGGGCACTTAGCAAAGCTTGGCTTGGCCAAAGAACGGAAACTGCTGGCAGCAAGGAATGGGTGGCATGGTGGTGGCCAGTCACTGCGGTTCTTAGGGACCTGAGAAGGAGGTGGTCATGGTTGCAGTGACAGGTTATTAAATGGTCATGACAAGGCCTGGCAGGTAATCCCTGGGCAGCCCCCGGAGATGACCTGAGTTCTTTCCCAGCCTTCTGAAAGTACCTCCTGTGACCTTGCTTTTATGTATTTCATATCTCAACAGGGAAGCCACTATGAGGACAGAAGATCTTGTCCCCATTTTCTACCCCAGCAGTGGGGCCTGACAGAATGTCATCTGCCAATCAAGGCTACAAACAATGTCCTAACCTTGGAGGTGCAGTTCCTTTCCTCTGTGGCCGTAGGCTCCTCCACCCTACCCACCAAGGCTCCCCTCAATCCTGTTATTGTCCTGATACTGACTTCTCAGATGGGACAGAGGCCTCATGGAGATGTACATATTACTCTTGTGCAAAGTGAAATTGCCAGAGTAAATAGGAGATAAACCATCTGGGACAATATTCCTCAAAGGGGAAAATGTACCAGCACAGAGAATCAATACAAGGACTGATCTGAGGTAGCCATGAAACTGCAGAAATGTCACCAGGTGGGAGGTGGAGAGGGGGTTGCAGTCAGTAGAACAAATTTGTGCAGGAGAAGTTTCCACTTCTGGATTTACTGAGAATTTTATCCCTCTTATGAATCATTCAAAATCAACTTCAGCTGTCTAAAACAATATCAAATAGCTAAGGTTAACTGAGTGGTCATAGCATGTATGTTTCTATGTATGTTCTCATTTTGTACCACAGTAGATATTGTCATTCACCTCATTTTGTAGACATGAAAACTAGGCTCACAAAGCTTGCCAAACCCACACAGCTGGTATGTGGAAGAGCAGAGTCAGATTTCAGGTCTGCCTGACTGCAAAGTTGATAATTACATATATATACAGGAACGCATGATTCACATAGGAAGTACTGCCAACTTACTGTTAGATTCAAATTGAGGTTGCCTTCATAGTTAAAACATAAGATGTTTAGGTTAGTGAAACATAACGTGGCTTAATCTCACGCAGTATGTCTGAGTTACGTACTTCTCTTAGCGTATACCTCATACGCTATATTTCTATACAATGCTGTATCCACCCTTAACGCAGAGGCATTGAGAGAGCAGGTGGTTATCGTGTACGAGAGAACTCCCTGGCCCAATCTGTCTGCGTGTTCTTTCTGGTATGGGAATTCACTTGCAGTCCGCCACACCGCTTTGCATCAGATATATGCCTACATTTCATATTCAAATGCTACATGTACTGTGTAAAAGTGTTCATTAAGAGAAAGAAACAGAGATAGCAATACCATAAGGGAATTTTTCCCCACAGGAAAATAAAAAAGGGAAAAGTGAGAAAGCAGGTGGGGAAAGGGTTGGTTTCTGCTCCGGAGAACACATGTAATGCAAGGGTGCTGCCAGCAACATGCCAACCGGGGCAGGCATCAGAGGACTCCCAGTGAAAAGACAGGAGAAAGGAATGGAGAGAAGAAAATGGCCCAATTCCAGAAGCTTCGTGCATCTCCCCTCTGGAGATACCCTTTGTTTGTTTCTTTTGTTTTGTTTGGTTTTGAGACAGATTCTTGCTCTGTCGTCCAGGGCTGAGTGCAAATGGCCACTATCTCGGCCCACTGCAACCTCTGCCTCAGAGTTCAAGTTTTCTGCCTCAGCCTCCGGAGGGAGTAGCTGGGACTACAGGCGCCCGCCCACCACGCCTGGCTAAATTATATTTTTATTAGAGATGGGGTGTTCACCATGTTAACCAGGCTGGTCTCGAACTCCTGACCTCAGGTGATCCACACACCTTGGCTTTCAAAGTGCTGGGATTACAGACGTGAGGCACCGCACCTTGGCCTGGAGCTACTTTTTATTGAGCCTTTCCCCAGGGCGTTATGCTGAAGTGGAAGAAA